AGACCTCACCGAAATGTTGCCAAGACAATCTCAATCTTACACGGGAAAAGACCCAAATACAACAAGACAGCATACCTACACCCGTGAAAATGTACGAAGACAAACATATGTATACTACTGTGTCCTCCAGGCCCCAGGAAACTCACCGTCTTAATGCAAGTCTTCCTTTTCCAAATGCTGCGATTGGGTTTCCGAGGGCCTGATCCTGTGGACCAAAGAGCCAGAAACCCCAAAGGCAAAATGAAACAGGGGCCTCCTCTGAGAAGTCCCAGGTCTCATTGTATGCGTGACGTTTCATCTGACATTTCACACGCTGCATCTGGAGACATTCGGAGGAAAGAAGAGCAGGACTGATGGGACTCAAAAGCCCCCTCGGGTACATAAGATGGTTTTCCCTCTTCCAATACACACCCACAGCCCAACAGAATTAACAGCAAGGGCTGCACAGCTAGTTCTCAACTTACAACCAGTTGGTTAGTGACCATTAGTATTCAAAGGTACCAGGTTCACTGACAAAAGTGACTCACAGCTGCTCCTCGCCCTCAGAACTATTGCGATATCCCCTGCAGCCACCCGATCAAAGTTTGGGTTGCTGGGCCACCCGCAGGGGTCTTTAGGGCAGTTGCAGCCTTCGTCCCCCCCGGATGTGTGGGGTGGGAGTGCTCAAGGGGCTGCCCTTTGCAACCTTCCCAGCCAAGCCTTTCACAAGGAATTCACTTAGCAACTGCAGTGACTCACTTAACAAAGGCAAAAAAGACCGTAAACCTGGGTGTGACTCACTTAACAATGACCTTGCTTAACCACAGGCATCCTGGCCTCCACCGTGGTCATTAGCTGAGGATCACTTGTGCAGCCGTAAACCCCTTTCCAGGGGCCGCACAAGGCAAACTCTACAGCTGCAACTTGGACGAAAGGAAGGGCCAGCCAAGGTGGGGTGGTGGGTGGGTGGAGGCCAGGAAGCCCTCCTTGCAGGGTTTAAATGTCCGCAGCCAGCTTGGTGGGTGGGAAGAGCGGCCGCCTCCTGTGGCCCTGGGGGTCTCCAGGCCCCTCTTGCCTGCCAGCCGAATCAGTCCTTCCTCTCCCCGCCTGACTTGGCCATGTAAATACTCTCTCATCACACACAGTCCTTAATTACATTCGGTCCCATTGATGCCAATTACAAATCATCCTTGATTAAACATGGCCCCATTGTTAATTGCACATTATCCTTGATTACACACTGTTTTCACCCTGTTGCCTCACGCAGGGCTCCTTCTGACGGAGGCCACTGAGCGAGGCCTCCCTGGCTTAAGTCTCTGCTTCCGATGGCTTCAGGGGGAATCACACCAGTCCCCCCACTGAATCGAATCCCGTTATTTGCTCCTAGCATTTTTAACCGACTGAAGGAATCTGGAATAATTCTGTCTTGTATCAGACCCAATTTTAGGTCAGCTGCAGATGTGACTGGCATTTCTTTACTCCTTCACCCAAGCCATGAATAAAAACATAGGCGAGGCTCAGGCTCCAGGCCAAATCCTGTGGCAGGTCTCCCTGGATCCAGGAGGAACCGTTGGATCCTGTCTTTACTATCTTTATTTTTATAAATAAGGAAGGTATTCAGGTTCAAATGTGTGACTGCCGAGACAAGGAGCCTTATCAGACAGTTGAATGGAAACCTTAGGGAGGCTCCATGAATCCTCAGAGACCTTGTCAAGGGAGGGTTTGGGGTGACCGGGACACCCACCACAATAACACAGGATTTCATGCGTTTTGGGAAAGGACTGGGTCAGATCCAGAAGGCGGGCACCCCCTCTCCGGCCAACTGCCCTGAGGGTGTCTGTGTGTCCAAGAGCAACACACATCTTGGGGGGGGGGGTCATTTATGGGCTGAAAGCCCTCCCCCCTCTGCCTTTTAACTTTGCAATTGCTCTCTTTAACTTTAATCTGTTTTCTAACTTGATTTTTAACTATAGCTCATGTGTAATTTTATTATTTTATCTGTAAACCACCAAGGCACATTAAGTGTGATGATCAATATGGAAATATGATAAAATAAGAATGGAAAGGAAGTAAACCTTCAGGCCTATCACTCCATCTTTCTCAGCAGAATGCCTGCAAACACAAGATGTGAAGACTTCTTGCTGCTCACCCCCCTTTCTGCAAAATCTCTGGGACTTTAGCAAAGTCTTTTCTCCATGAAACCCTCGTTAATTCTCCAATCCCCAGCTGCATGAAGACGAGAGAGATGCACATAGTCTGCCACGTCATCCAGAACTGCTATCCCCTCCTCCGCCCCAAGTATTTTAACCGGCACTTCTCCATCGCAGGGATGAAACTGCCTGGCTTCTGGGCTGGGCCTTCATTTCATCCACACAGCACAGAAGCGTAGAGGAGCCAGTGATCTCCTTTTCTTTTCCTTTCTCTTATCAGGCCTTCTGGAATTTACTTTGGGGGGGGGGGGTGAAAAAGGTATCAAGAGAACGGATTCAACCTCCCGTCTCTGCCTGGGAAAATTCCTCCCAGCCTTAATAGGGAGGCGGCTGAGGGGAAGTCAGAATCAAGAGAAGCTTGTTGTATTTTATAGGTTTACAGCTGAAACTGCTGCACTGAATGAGAACCTTATCCTGTAGAAAGCAACGGAATCATTTCTTAAGGTTCCCTCAGGGGAAAGGCTGCCTCTTGCAAAAAATAAAAATAAAAATTCCTCCTAAATAAAACTTGATGAATGTGCCGTCTTCCGTCTCCACCCTGGGCCGCTCTGCCCGGTGGCTGCAGAGGCCTGGACGGGGCAGAACAAGGCCATTCAAGCCTCGTAAGGGGGGGGAGGGCTCTGGGGTCCAGGACCCCCATTCCTCGGGATTCTCCTTCTCTTGTCCTGGACGGGGGTGGCCTTACAGAACTGGTGTGCAATTTGGGGCTCCCGTTGGAAAAACCGGCCCAGCCGCCACCCTTGGAGCGCTTCGTGCCCCCTGGCGGCCCTGCCTCAGCTGCCGCCTATTGTGCCGCCTAAGTCTTGCCGGCTGCCCGCTTGCTTGAGAGGTGCAGCCATGCAGAGCGAGTGAATGGCTGGCAAACCCAAAAACTTCGGCAAGGAGAGGCGGCCACAACCCAGGAGCCTGCAGCCACACACACGCACCCGTGCTGCTCGCTGCACGTTTCCAATGAGCAGCCTGGGGAGCTGGACTCTAGAGGCCACCACTGGGCAGGTGGGGAAAGGGCCAAGGAGGGGGTGGTCTGAAACTACACCTGGCAGAAGAGGCCCATTCTGCCCAGCAGACAGGGGCTCTACTGCTTTTTACAACTTGGTACAAAATTGTGTTCTTTTTACAAGCAGGACACAAACTCTTAAATATCCAGCAGGTCAGGAGCTCCCAAAATGCTGAGAAGGCTGCTGTTATTAGAAGTTCAAAACCAAACCAGGTGGCTCAGGAATTTCCACTTAACTTTCTCTATGGCCAGAATGTCTGGCATACAGACGGCATTTTTATGGGACGCCGGTGTTTTTCGACTCCGAAGGTAGTTCTTACTAAGGCTGCTGATGTGCGTGGCTAATCCCTGGAATGTTACTTTTAAGGTACTGTTTATTTAGGCACACAGCTCGCTCTTTTTCCAATTGCATGATTTACCAGAAAGCTTACTAGGAATCCACTTTAATGCTCCCTTAAATAGGGAAACGTCCGGCTGGCTTCTATTCCTGCTTTATAAAGTCGGTGGCAGCCTCTGTGTCGGAGAGGACACACGAGTGCCCTGAGACGCTACTGGAAAGCCCCAGTGGGAGAGAGCCAGGGGCGGTCAGGTGAATTCCGCCTTGAGCTTCCAAAGCCCTTCGCCCCCCGACTGCCGGTGGAAAGTGCAGAGGCTTCTCAGGAGCTCCCGGAAGACGCAGGACTGCTGCGTGGTCAGCTTGGAGCCAAATTCCTGCAGGATTTCGCGCGTGCTGGCCTGGCCCGGCAGCTGGGCCTGGAAAGCCATGAAGCTCCGGATATCCGAGAGCAGCTCATCGTGCTCTGTGGGGGCCGTGGGGGCCCCGGGGATCCTGTGCTGGAAGCTCCCCTCAGCCGGATCCGCCCTCTGCTGGGATCCAGTCAGGTGGTTCCTTTCCCTCATTTTGGCCAGCAACGAAGAGGAGTCCAGAGCGCTCGAAGAGGCCTCTCCATCGAAGGGAGCGAGTCTGCTGCCGGCAGGGTCTCCTCTCTCCCTCTCACCCTCCTGCAGAAAGAAATCGAAAGGGTGGGAGGGGTTCTTCTATCACAGAACTTAAAAAACAGTTGAAAAGTTCTGATTTGTGTGATGCCAGGATCCTAACAGCAGCGTAACTCCCTTTGCAATCCAGGAAGCTGTTTTTTGGGATGCCATCATTATGAATTCTTCTCAAAGCACTTTTGAGAATCTATTAACCAATTTGTTAAGGAGAATATTGTGAAGCACTCTGCTGGAAGTTCAGGCACGTCACACCACTCCCCACCCCGGTCTACTAAGGGGGAAGAACACTGTCAAAAGAGGAGAGACACTCAGTCTCACCTTAAAGGGGACATTTATAAGGCCTCCTTAAATGCTGCGGTGCTTGCTTTTGAAATAATAATGGGGACAAGCACACACTTCGAAACGCAACTTTGTAACATTATGCACAATCAACACAACCTCTGAGCAGAAGCCCCCATCCACCCTTCCGTCCTCCTTCACTCTCACAGATGGGTGAACCGCTCAGAGCACAGCAATTCCTGGCCTTCCTCTGCTGGTGAGGATCTGGAGAGGAACCCACTTATTTGCCCAAGTGGAGAATGACTTTCAAACGCCGAGAGCAGTTTCACCATGGAAGTAACTGCCAGAGGAGGCATCTCCACCCTGCTATGAAAAAGGAGCCCTGAATCGGTGGGGTCTTGAAAGAGGGATGCAACGGCCTCGCTCGGCTCTTCCTTCCTTCCCTGAAAACCCAGGCCGAAGAACTTGCCTTTTCCGTTCTCTTCCCCCACCCGTCATCTACATATATTCCACTCGCAGGTGAGCCTTTGAGATACGTTGGATGGTATTCCGGGTTAAACCCCTAGGGAGGCCCTCCCACCAGACCACCCTCGGAAAGCTACATGGGCCCTTCCCGCTTCCTACAGAGGCGGCTCCTGGGGAGAGGAGGCGGCCATCGCGGGCTCTTGAAACTCGAACATGGCTTCCAAAAGGCGGCCAAGGTGTGATGAGCCACTTGGGATGTGACCAAGGAGACCCAACCCCATTTATCAAAAGGCTCCCCCTGTGGAAGCCAGAAAGGGATTAAGCGGAGTGCAGCATGGAAACTGGGATCAAGGCTGGAACTTGTCACCAGGAGGCGGCTGGGCCGAGCTGCTTCTGTGTGTAGGAGGGGACCCTCTGTAAGGGGACGTCTTACGTTCACTATCAGCTGTTCCTGTTTCAACTTGCACTTTTTCCCTGAAGCCTGATTGGAAGACGATGAGGATATCATGAGATTTGGGTTCCTCTTCTGGCCAAATCTGCTTCTGAAATTGAACAGAAACCAGAGGTACATTCTTCACAAACGGATCGCATGGCACCCCAGGGCAGATACATTTGCACACAGAGACTGGTAATAGGGGGCCAAGTGGCAAAGCAGGACATAGGAAGGCTGACTCCACAGACCCCCTCCTGCCGGCCCCCAACCACAAACGACATTGATTTAACTCGTCCCTTCTGCCCCCCTCCCCTCCACTTCCCGAGTGCTATTTTTCCATCTCGTTCCCGTGCAGAAAATATAAGTTTCATCCCTGCTGGTGGGACTGGGTGTGTCTAGCCTAACAAGAGAAGAACCAGGGGAGACATGATAGCAATCTTCCAATTTCTGAGGGGCTGCCACAAAGAAGGAGGGGGGGGGCTGTTTCCACCTATTCTCCAAAGCACTTGAGGCCAGGAGAAGCAGCATCGGATAGGAACTCATGAAGGGGAGAAGCAACATGGACCTAAGGAGGATTTCCTGAGAGTGAGAACAATTAATCAGGGGAACAGCTGGCCTCCAGAAGCCACAGATGCTCCAACACGGGAGGTTTTTAAGGAGAGGTTGGCTAACCATTTGTCTGAAGTGGTACAGGGTCTCCTGCTTGAGCCTGGGGTGGACTAGAAGACCTCCGAGGATCCTTCCAAATCTGATATTCTGTTATTCTGTAACTTATACATAACATTGATTTGGAACTGGGAATATTTAAGCTTTTGGCAGGCCACCATTCTCATGTCCTATTAACTTAGTCAAGAAATAAGAAGCCATTGCCCACCTCAGAAAATGATTATTTTTATTCCGGTCACTGACCAGAATTTATCTCATAAAATAATGCAAATGAGATGAAGGAAATTTTCTCTTGCCTAACAGCCAAGGAGAGTTAGGGTGGCTTCTCCTTCCACATTTTAGGTGGCATCAGAAGACTTCCCAAGCGTTCTTTTTAGACGCTGAAGCCCCATAGCTATTTCATAAGGGCTAAAGTACAGAGCCAGCATCACCCTTCAGCACGGAGCATGGATCTGCGACTGGGTTGGCCGCCCACCTTCTCTCTGAAGAGGTTATGCCTTGAGATGCAGCAGGTGACCTCCACATTAGCCATGCGGCTGTGAGAGAAGCCACCCTCAGAGCCAAGACGGGGGGAGGGGGGCAAGGGGCTTACTTGAACCGAGTGGAGGCGCCGTCAGCCCAAGTAGAAGCAACTCCACGGTATCGTTGTCGAGAAACCTTCAGGGCTCGGAGGGCGTCTTGAGCCACACGATTGGCCTCTGCTTCCACCAGCACATAATCTGGACTAGAAGCTTCCATTATGGCGTCATGCTTCATTATGCTGTGTATCCCTGGGAGAGAAAGGAATGAACGGCCTTTAAAAAAACCACAAACTCCCCATTCCTCCTGCCTGAAGGGACACGAGATCTTCTGCATGTGAAACTCAAGGGCTGCCCTGGAAGGGCTGGGCCAGAGGGGATCTGCTCCAAGCGTGGCGGTTTTGCTTCTAGAAAAGCAGGCTCTGCATACCAACTTCTAAAAATAAAACTGCGAATTGCCCCAGAAAATAAAATGGGGAGAAGGACACAATCTGTCCCAGCCAACATCTCCTTGTCTGAAGAATTCTGGGAGTTGAAGTCCACACTTCTTCAACTGGCCAAGAGTGAGAAAAGCCCCAAGTGGGTTACACAGTGGACTCTGATAAACGGGGTGCATAACGGGCTTTCTTGTCTCAACTAATTCACTATTATAGGTGGGGTATTGGTTCCTCTTGGCGGATTGGAGGGAGAAATCAAGTGGAGCAGTTCAACATTTGGTTAATCCTGGCTAATTTCAATAAACTCCACTGGCCAGAGCCAGATCGATCACACGCTAGGCTCCTGAAGAAACTGGCAGAGGTGATTCCACAGCTGCTGGGTCGTTTTTGAGAGCTTGGGGGGGGGGTGCAGTCCCAGGGAAGGGGGGGGCGAGTTTCCATCTTCAAAAGGGGAAAGAGGCAGGAGCTGCCCACTGGAGGACCATGCTGGACAAGAATTGTCCGAGGGATGGAAGAGCAGAGTTTTTTTCTGTGATTCAAACAGTCAAAGGATCAGGTAATATTCTGCAGGGAGTGGATTTGACAGATTGAATGAACAGTTTGCATAAAAGTTTCCCAGTTTCTGGAGGCAGAAAAAACATTCTGATGACTCCATAAGCAGTTTACATGTGCTGCTACATTAGCTCAACTTGGATTTCCCAAATGATTTACAAAAGGGGTCCAGATCTTGCAGGAATCTGGATCTCTGTCACACCTGGAATAGAAACAGA